TCTTGAGATTGTTTTGTTGCAAGCAGGACTAAACCAGAACTGAACCAGGACTGAGTGTCGGGACTCGGTTTCTATCTCTCTCCTGCACTCGAGCCCAAGTTTAGTCCTGGTTTATTCATTTTATGCTGAACTGCAGCCAAATATGCACTTTTTTTTTTTATCCTATGCACACGCAGATTTCTGAAAGTTTCGTTTTCAGCCGCTGCTGCTGTCAAACTACGGGTCTACATGCGGCATGAAGAGAAAAAGTGAGAAAAAGAGAAAACACGGCTCCCAATAAGAAACAGGCTCCTGTTGTTCGCTTCAAAGAAGTCGGCACTAAGAGCCGCTTCGATCGTGACCGACCCATAACTCTTAGCTAGTAAACTATCGCTATTAGCCTTTAGCAGTAAAAACTGCGAACCGCGGTAATTAATTATATGCATAAATGTGGATCATTCACACGTCTCTTCACAGCTCATTTACATATCAATGCTGGTCCAGTAACAAATATACGGCCAATATAATCACTTTACAATAGACCAATAGAAAACAGCCTGTTTATGTGCGGGAGCTACAGCAGCTAATCGCTAACAAAACCTAAAACTAGCTTCAAAGTCGATGTATTTCCAACACTCACCGCTCATACAGGCTCCTCCTCACATCACAAGTCTGCACTAATAAATGTCCTTTTAATCCAGACTCAAACCGATTGTCCGAAAAAGAATATAATCTCAGTGTTGCGCACGGCTGCAGGGTGTAAACAAACACACGCGAGTGAAGTGACGTGACTCTGGGGGTGTGTTCAGGGACAGTACGGACACAGACACAGACAAATTACACCGTAGATAAATACTGATGCGGAGCCACATATTAGGACATTTATCTGTCTGTAAATTGGATTAAATGAACATAATGTAGAGAGTCTAAGCTTTATAACGAGGTATAACATGCCCACGTGAAATATCGGCCCATATCAGCGAGCATATCGGCCGATAGCCGATATGTCTCCAGGTGCCCATATTGGCCGATAATATCGGCCAGCCGATATATCGGTCGGGCTCTAATCTTGGGTTCATCTTCCAGATCTTATTGTAGTTCCATGATCGAAACTAGATTCTCATTATCTGTCTCTGAATACTTTTGTTGCAGTAGAAAAGTAAAAGTAGTTTGTCCCTCCTACTTCCTCGTCAAATATCGAGGGGTCTAACGTCGGTCTGTCCCAGTGCTCAGGTCTCGTTGGGTCCGGACTCTGCAGGACTTCATCAGGGAGCAGCTGGTCTTCGTGCGGAGGAGGTTTGGACCTGGACTCCACTGTCAGAAACACGGACCTCTGGAGACCAAGGGCCACAAGTCCAAGGTCTACACCGCCATCTACGGAGACCAGATCTGGATCCACAAGAACCAGCAGGTGAGACAGGAGCAGACAGGAGCAGACAGGAGCAGACAGGAGCAGACAGGAGCAGTATTTTGGTAGATATTTTAAAAATCGCTGTGTTCCTCAGTGCTTCCGAAACGGGATCGCGGTGACGGTGATCGAGGCTCGTGGGGCGACCATCCGAGACGGAAAACACAAGGGCTTCGACCTCATCACCCCCTACAAGACCTTCAGGTATCGACCTCCTCACACTTTTTGGACTTTCAGGACTAAATCGGATCTAAACCAGGACTGAACCAGAACTAAACCAGGTCTAAACCAGGATTGAGCCAGGAGTGAATGTTGGGACGGGCCCCGAGACCCGCGTAGACTGTCGGGTGATGAGGACTGAGACCAAGACCGGGACCAGACCAGGACTGAGACTGGGACCAGACAGGGACCAGACCAGAACTGAGACCAGAACTGAGACCAGGACTGAGACCGGGACTGAGACCGGGACTGAGACCGGAACCAGACTGGGACCAGGCCGGGACCAGGACCTGGACTGAGACCGGGACTGAGACTGGGACCAGACCGGGACAAGATCAGGACTGAGACCAGGACTGAGATTGAGACCAGACCAGGACTGAGACCAGGACTGAGATTGAGACCAGACCAGGACTGAGACTGACTGAGACTGAGAACCAGACTGAGACTGAGACCAGGACTGAGGACCAGACGGACCACTGACAGGACTGAGACCGGACCAGACCAGAGACCGGGACTGAGACCAGACCGAGACGGGACCAGGACTGAGACCAGGACGAGATTAGGACCAGACCAGGAACAGACCGGGACCAGGACCTGGACTGAGACCGGGACTGTGACTGGGTCCAGACCGGGACAAGACCAGGACTGAGATCGGGACCAGACCAGGACTGAGACCAGGACCAGGATTGAGACCGGGACGAGACTGGGACTGAGACAGGGACTAGACTGGGACAAGATCAGTACTGAGACCAGGACTGAGACCGGGACCAGGCCAGGACCAGGACTGAGACTGGGACCAGACTCGGACAAGATCAGGACTAGGACCAGGACCGGGACTGAGACCAGAACCATACCGGGACTGAGACCGGGAACAGGCTAGGACCAGACCGGGACTGAGACCGGTTTAGTCCTAGTTTAGTCCTGGTTCAGTCCGGGATCAAAGTTTAAGTCACAGAAACAGGAAACGGCCATTATCTGTTTTTTCCGTTATTTTCATTTTCGTTTTGGAGACAAATAATGAAGAAAATTGTTGTTTTTTCGTTTTATTTTGAAAAACAAATGAACGAATAATACACGGATTCAATATGTAGGGACGATTTTATAATTTTTTACTGTAATTTTAATTAACTTCAAACTCACCCACAGCCTTTTTTTTAGCTCAGACTGATTATAAATCTGTGCAGTCATGTTTTGTAAAGATTTAAAGAGAACATATTCTACAAAATCCACCTCGTTGTAGCTGTTTCTCCTCACCGTTTTGGTATTTAGAGTGATTTATACAAGTTTAAGTAATCTTATACTGGCGATCTACCCTCGTTTTCCCGTTTTCACCATTCCCGGTTCACGCCCACTGTTCTGCACTTACCTCATTCTCTGGCCAAAACACGCAGCGAAAAGAAAAGCGTAACAGATCTTGATTAGTCAGACTTAACAAACCCGCGCAGGATGTTTCATTAATCCAGCGAAATTCACAAAGGCAACGTGAGACAGATTCAGGTCAGAGTCTGAAGCAAACACAACAGAACGTTTTTAGTCCCAAATATTAATCGTAAACTGAAATGTAAGTAAAAACACGCAGACTGATGGACGGTTTTTGGTCCAGTTTCATCGCCGACTCGGAGCGTGAGAAGAGGGAGTGGACCGAGGCGCTTCAGGAGGCGATCTCTGAGACCCTGTCCGACTACGAGGTCGCCGAGAAGATCTGGTCCAACAAGTCCAACAGGGTCTGTGCGGACTGCAGGGCCCTGAACCCGGACTGGGCCTCCATCAACCTGTGCGTGGTCATCTGCAAGAACTGTGCAGGTACATGAAGCTACGCTGACCGAAACTAGACTGGGTTTAGTCCGAGCTTAGATCTAGTTTAGACTTGGTTTAGTTCCAGTTTAGACTTAGTTTAGAATTGGTTTAGTTCCATTTTAGACCTACTTTAGACTTGGTTTAGTCCAAGTTAAGACCAAGTTTAGACCATATTTAGACATTGCTTAGACTTGGCTTAGTCCCAGTTTAGACCTAGTTTAGACTTTGTTTAGTCCCAGTTTAGACCTTGTTTAGACTTTGTTTAGTCCAAGTTTAGACCTTGTTTAGACTTGGTTTAGTCCCAGTTTAGACCTAGTTTAGACTTGGTTTAGTCCCAGTTTAGACCTTGTTTAGACTTTGTTTAGTCCAAGTTTAGACCTTGTTTAGACTTGGTTTAGTCCTAGTTTAGACGGTTTAATCCCAGTTTAGATATAATTTAGACTTGGTTTGGTCCCAGTTTAGACCTAGTTTAGACTTGGTTTAGTCCTAGTTTAGACTTGGTTTAATCCCAGTTTAGATCTAATTTAGATTTGGTTTAGTCTGAGTTTAGATCTAATTTAGACTTGGTTTAGTCCCAGTTTAGACCTAGTTTAGACTTGGTTTAGTCCTAGTTTAGACCTAGTTTAGACTTGGCTTAGTCCAAGTTAAGACCAAATTTAGACTGAGTTTAGACATTGCTTAGACTTGGCTTAGTCTGAGTTTAGACCTTTTTTAGACCTGGTTTATTCCCATCTTAGACCTAGTTTAGACTGAGTTTAGACTTGGTTTAGCCCCTCTTAGACCTGGTTTGTACTTGGTTTAGTCCCAGTTTAAACCTAGTTTAGACTTGGTTTATTCCCACTTTAGACCTACTTTAGACACATTTTAGTCCCAGTTTAGACCTAGTTCAGACTTGGTTTATACCTAGTTCAGACTTGGTTTAGATCTAGTTTAGACTTGCTTTGGTCCCAGGTTAGACCTAGTTTAGCCTTGGTTTAGTCCCAGTTTAGACCTAGTTTAGATTTGGGTACATTGGGGGGGGGACATGTAACCCCACATTTGTAAAAGTGAAATATAGTAGGTCTATTTCCCTTTTTTTTTTTTCCCGACTGGTTTGGCATATTTTAAAAAAAAAAAAAAAAAAAGGCAAATGTTTTGTGCTTTTTGCAAAACTATTTACACGAGACACAAAACAGTTCAGAATGTTTGAAAAAGTAAAAGTTTGTGAATAAAAAGTAACACGCTCTGTAAAAGGATTCTTTGTGGATCAAATACAAACACAGTCTTTAGATTTTTAAAGTCCAGAGACTGTCTGAAAATGCTCCCACACTTTAAAACACAGATCAGATAAACTGCTAAAAAACACAGATTTGAAAATTGTGCTGTTTTTATTCTCTAAATTATTGTGTAATATTGTACATGTGTTTACAGCACTTACTTCACTGTCAAACGTCAGACAGTGTGATACTCGTCCTGCCTGTTTGATTCATGAATGAAGTCTTTTGTTGTCAGAGTTTAAGTGTCACAAATTAAACAAATTAAACACAAATTATAGGTTTTTGCTGTTGTTTGAGTTTATATACTGAAAGTGAAAGTGAAAGTGTTGGGGTCCGTTTACTCGATGAGAACAGGCTTGTGGCGATGAAAAAATAAGATTAATTTCCTGATCATGTGTTTGTGAATGAGAGCTGTGTCTGATGTTGTGAGAAAGAGCCTGAGAACTGAGTGAACTGATGAGAAATGTTCCAGAGGGTTTGACCCGAGCCCCTGAAACTCGGAGACACGTTTGAATCAAATTATCAAAGTAAATCAAGTTTCAGAAAAAGTGCTAAAATGATACATAAGCTCACAGACTTCTGACTTGCTTGGTTTAGTCCTGGTGTAGTCGCATAATCACAACTGTAGAAGTAATAGTAATAACAGTAGTAGTAATAATAGTAACAGTATTAGTAATAGTAGTAAAGGTGGTAGTAATAGTAGTAACAGTAATAACAGTAGTAGTAGTAGTAATAGTTGTAGTAATAATAATAGTAACAGTTGTAGTAATTGTGGTAGTAGTAGTAATAGAAGTAGTAGTAATAGTAGCAACAGTAGTAGTAGTCGTAGTAGTAATAGTAGTAACAGTAGTAGTAATAGTAGCAGTAATAATAGTAGTAACAATTGTAGTAATTGTAGTAGTAGTAGTAATTGCAGTAGTAGTAGTAATAGTAGTAGTAGTAATAGAAGTAGTAGTAATAGTAGTAGTAGTAGTAGTAGTAGTAGTAGTAGTAGTAGTAGTAGTAGTAGTAGTAGTAACAGTAGTAATAGTAGTAATAGTAGTAACAGTAGTAGTAGTAGTAATAGTAGTAACAGTAGTAGTAGTAATAGTTGTAACAGTAGAAGTAATAGTAGTAGTAGTAATAATAGTAGTAACAGTAGTAGTAATAGTAGTAACAGTAGTACTAGTAATAGTAATAGTAGAAGTAGTAGTAATAGTAGTAACACTAGTAATAGTAGTAACAGCAGTAGCAGTAGTAATAGTAGTAACAGTAGTAGTAGTAATAGTAATCGTAATAGTAGTAGTAATAGTTGTAACAGTAGAAGTAATAGTAGTAGTAATAATAGTAGTAACAGTAGTAGTAATTTTGGTAATAGACTCTGTGCATATTAGCATGCTAGTTAGCTCACTGTGTCTCAAAGCTAACAGTCAACAATTGTATTAATCATATCATAAAACAAAATATACACATCATGTTAAAATTCAAATTCATTAAAATAAAGACTACCTAATTATTTTTATATGTAAAATACTGTGTCACTGTTTTATAACCTCAACATTAGCATTAGCGTTAGCGTTGAGACACAAACATCTCTCTTTCTAAACACAGAAATGTCCTCCGCTGAAGTATTAACTTTATTTTTGTAGCCTATTTTTTAACATGTCAGTGACATTTACCCACAGCTCTCTGTTCACTACCTTATCTTTAAATGTTTATTTTTATTTTTTTAGCATGACTCAGCTAAAAACGCTTTGAGCTAAAATGGGACAGGAAGTAGTGACGCTAACGGTGATTAGCACAGAGCTATTGTAGTAAATTATGGTAATACTAATAACAGTAGTAGTAAGAGTAATTATTGTAGTATTAGTAGTACTATAATAACAGTGAGTAGTTTAATTTTGTGTAATTATTTTTCTGCTTCAGTCTTACGTAACTATGATCCTTGTTTACATTATTATAGTCATGCTAACAGAAATAAACAAAACCAGACTGTAAAGTAATACGAGGTTTTATACACTTTTATGCAAAACTTTAAGGAGTGGGAAGTAGAAAGCCTATTTGATCGCACCCCATTGTAGTATTATTAGTAACATTAGTAGTACTGACAGTAGTATTATCTGCAGTACCAGCTGTTGTTGTATTCGTAGAAGCAGAGTACACACCTGTCCTCTTCAGACTGAGGAGTGTTTCAGGCGTCAAATCCGGTCGGTTCACATTTCTCTTCTGTGTTTATAACTGCAGACACACTTTAGAACAAATCATGTGAACCAGGGCCAAACCAGGGCCAAACCAGGACTAAACCAGGACTAAACCAGGCCTAAACCAGAGGTAATCTAGGACTACACTAGGACTAAAACAGGTCAAAACCAGGACAAAACCAGGTCAAAACCAGGACTAAACCAGGTCAAAACCAGGACTAAACCAGGACAAAAGCAGGTCTAAACCAAGTTTAAACCACTACTAAACTAGGGCCAAACCAGGTCTAAAACCAGGTCTAAAATAGGACTAGACCTGGTCTAAACTAGGCCCAAACCAGGTCTAAAACCAGGTCTAAACCACTATTAAACCAGGTCTAAACTAGGGGTACTAAAGCAGGGATAAACCAGGTCTAAAACACTACTAAACCCGATCTAAACTAGGCTCAAATGAGGTCTAAAACCAGGTCTAAACCACTACTAAACCAGGTCTAAACCAGGACTAAACTAGGACTAAACCAGGTCTAAACCAGGGCTAAACCAGGACTAAAACAAAACCAGGTCTAAAACACTACTAAACCCAATCTAAACTAGGCTCAAATGAGGTCTAAAACCAGGTCTAAACCGTTACTAAACCAGGTCTAAACCAGGCCCAGACCAGGGCTAAACAGTGGTTAAATGTAGATAAAACCAGGGCTAAATCAGGATTAAACCCAGACAAGTCCAGGGTCAAATGAGACAAACATATAAACATATCAAACCAAGACTAAACCAGACTAAATCAGATTAGAACCAGGACTAAAGTTAAACTATAAATAATCCAGGAGTAAACCATGACATTCAGTCTGACAGTGCATCCTCCCTGTTCAGCACAATGTCACGGTCTAGTTTTTAGCGGATAGATCCAGTTTTTGTAAATCAAACAGAGTATTTTTCACACTGACGTTTGTGTCGTCTCCTCAGGTCAGCACCGCAGCCTCGGCACCTCTGTGTCCAAAGTCCAGAGCCTCAAACTCGACACCAGCGTTTGGAGCAACCAGATCGTACAGGTCAGAACCTCACACAAACTTACATTCAGAACAATAAATACAAATAAATATAAATATACATAAAAAATAAATAAAATAAAATAAATAAAATACATATAAATAAATACAATAAAATAAAAATTAAATAGGTGTCTGAGTATATCTTATATCATCTGAAATTTAATTTTTTTTTGGATTTATGTTTGCATTGAAAGTGAAAGTGAAAATGTTAGAGCCTTAAGTCCTTTTACCATATTCAGAACAATAAAAAAAAATTTTTATAAAATAAAGCAAAATAAAACAAAATAAACCTAAATAAATATAATAAAATAAAAATAATTAAGTTAGTATAATAAGTTTAAGTTTATTTGGATGTTTCCGTAAATGATAAATTGCATTATCATGCAGTAATCAACAGATAAATAAAGATAATTATTTTACATTGCTCATCACAACTATAATCTCCAAAAATAAAATAAAAATAAAATGATCAATAATTCAAAGTCAGTATTATGTAGTTTTGTATCTTATAGTCGTATTGAAAGTGAAAGTGAAAGTGTTAGAGCAGAGTCAGAAAAATAAAAAAACATAATAAAAAAAATATAAAATAAAACAAAACAAAATAAAAATAAATGCAATATAATACAATAAAAATAATAAAATTGTTTTATGAGTATATCTTGTATTTTAAATGGTCAGTTTTTTGTTTTTTTTTGTTTTTTTTTGCTGTTATGTTTGTATTGAAAGTGAAAGTGAAAGTGTTCGAGCTTTTACCACATTCAGAACAATAAATAAAAAATAAAAATAATATAAAATTACAAGTCCAGAGCCTCAAACTGGACACCAGAGTTTGGAGCAATCAAATCATACAAGTCAGAACCCCATAGAACAATAAATTAAATAAAAAATTAATACAATAATATAAAACAAAACCAAATAAAATAAAATAAAAATAAATATATACAATAAAATAAAAATAAGGAAATAGGTTTTGAGTATATCATGTATTATCTCAAATTGTAAAATAAAACAAAGTCCAGAGCACCAGCGCTTGGAGCAAACAAATCGAACAGGTCAGAACCTCATAGAAATTTACATTCAGAACAATAAATTTAAAATAAAATAAAAATGTATAAATACAGTAAAATAAAAATAATAAAAAGGTGTTTGAGTTTATCTTGTATATCTCATTATTGTAGTTTTTTTGCTGTTATGTTTGTATTGAAATTGAAAGTGTTAAGTCCTTTTACTACATGAGAAAAGGCCTGTAGCATTAAAAAAAAAAAAAAAAAAAAATAATAATATTAATTCCCTGATCATGTGTTTGTGAATGAGAGCTGTGTTTAATGTTGTGAGAAAGAGCCTGAGAACTGCGTGAACCAGAGGATTTCAGACACGTTTGAATCAAATTATCAAAGTAAATCGACGTTAAAAAAATGTTATAAAATGAAACGTAAGCTCCCGTAACAGATTCGGTGTCATGTTTTTCTACCTGTTGTTGATTTTTTTCTGCCCCCCCGCTCAGTTGTTCATCATGTTGGGGAACGATCGCGCCAACGAGTTCTGGGCGTCTCGGCTGCCGGCCTCAGAGGAGCTGGACTGTGACGCGGCTCCGGAGCTCAGGAGAGAGTTTATCGCTTTAAAATACAGAGAGGGACGATGGAGGAGCCCACACCCCGGCTTCAGCAACCACCCGCAACTGCTCAAGGTACAGTACACTGACACACAACTGCTCAAGGTACAGTACACTGACACACAACTGCTCAAGGTACAGTACACTGACACACAACTGCTCAAGGTACAATACACTGACACACAACTGCTCAAGGTACAGTACACTGACACACAACTGCTCAAGGTACAGTACACTGACACACAACTGCTCAAGGTACAGTACACTGACACACAACTGCTCAAGGTACAGTACACTGACACACAACTGCTCAAGGTGCAGTACACTGACACACAACTGCTCAAGGTACAGTACACTGACACACAACTGCTCAAGGTACAGTACACTGACACACAACTGCTCAAGGTACAGTACACTGACACACAACTGCTCAAGGTACAGTACACTGACACACAACTGCTCAAGGTACAGTACACTGACACACAACTGCTCAAGGTACAATACACTGACACACAACTGCTCAAGGTACAGTACACTGACACACAACTGCTCAAGGTACAGTACACTGACACACAACTGCTCAAGGTACAGTACACTGACACACAACTGCTCATCTTTATCTGTTTTTAACAAGACTGAACCAGGACTGAACCAGGACTGAAACAGGACTGAACCGGGACTGAAACAGGACTGAACCAGGACTGAAACGGGACTGAACGGGACTAAAACAGGACTAAACCAGGACTGAACCAGGACTGAACCGGGACTGAAACTGGGACTAAAACAGGACTAAAGAGGACTTAACCAGGACTAAAACCAGGACTGAAAAGGACTGAACCGGGACTGAACCGGGGACTAAAACAGGACTGAACCAGGACTGAACCAGGACTGAAACGGGGACTGAACCAGGACTGAACCAGGACTGAAACAGGGACTGAACCAGGACTGAAACGGGACTGAACCAGGGACTGAAACAGGGACTGAACCGGACTAACAGGACTAAACCAGGACTAAACCAGGTCTAAAAACCAGGTCTAAACCAGGACTAAAACAGGACTGAACCAGGACTGAACCAGGACTAAACGGGACTGAACCGGGACTGAACCAGGACTAAAACAGGATTAAACTGGACTGAACCAGGACTAAAAACAGGACTGAACCAGGACTAAAACAGGACTGAACCAGGACTGAAACCAGGACTAAACAGGACTGAACCAGGACTAAAACAGGAAAACTGGGACTGAACCAGGACTAAACCAGGACTGAACCAGGACTAAAACAGGACTGAACCAGGACTAAAACAGGACTGAACCAGGACTAAACCAGGTCTAAAACCAGGTCTAAACCAGGACTAAAACAGGACTGAACCAGGACTAAAACGGGACTGAACCGGGACTGAACCAGGACTAAAACAGGATTAAACTGGGACTGAACCAGGACTAAACCAGGGCTGAACCAGGACTGAACAAGGACTGAACGGGACTGAAACAGGACTGAAACAGGACTGAAACGGGACTGAACCAGGACTAACAGGACTAAACTAAGGACTGAACCAGGACTAAAACAGGCTAAACCAGGACTGAACAGGACTAAACCAGGACTGAACCAGGACTAAAACAGGACTGAGCCGGGACTGAACCGGGACTAAACCAGGAATTAAACCGGGACTGAACCAGGACTAAAACAGGACTGAACCAGGACTGAACCGGGACTAAACCAGGAATGTCGGGACAGGCCCAGAGGTGCACCCACGTAGACTGCTAGGTGATCATGACTGAGACCGGAACCAGACTGGGACCAGGACCAGGACCAGTTTTAGTCCTGTTTAGTCTTGTCCTTTTAGTCCTTTTAGTCCTGGTTCAATCCCAGTTTAAGTCACGTAAACGGGAAACGTCCGTTATCCATTTTTTTTCCATTTTTCGAAAACTGAAAAAACAAATCGTTATCTGTATTTTTTTTTTTTCATTTTAGTTTCAGAGACAAATAATGAAGAAAATTGTTGTTTTTTCATTGTCTTATTTTTGGTTTTATTTTGAAAAACGAACGAACGAACGATACACGCATTCAGAAGCTATCGATCCAAAATGATCCGATCTAATTTAGCGAATTTTACGTGAGGCTTGAAAATATTTGTGATGATTATTTCAATGTTTGAATATTTAAAAGTGCAATTTATTTAGAAGTTGAAACATACTGAAAAAGTTAAATTTCAGCAACTAAAATTCAGAATAAAAATAATACAAACATCTTTTTTCAGAGTTAAAAAATTCAAAGTTAGAAAAACAGGACTAAACCAGGACTAAAACAGGACTGAACCAGGACTAAAACAGGACTGAACCAGGACTAAAACAGGACTAAAACAGGACTGAACCAGGACTAAAACAGGACTAAACCAGGACTGAAACCAGGACTGAACCAGGACTAAAAACAGGACTGAACCAGGACTAAACCAGGACTAAAACAGGACTGAACCAGGACTAAAAACAGGACTGAACCAGGACTAAAACAGGACTGAACCAGGACTAAAACAGGACTGAACCAGGACTAAAAAACAGGACTGAACCAGGACTAAAACAGGACTGAAACCAGGACTAAACCAGGACTAAAACAGGACTGAACCAGGACTAAAACAGGACTGAACCAGGACTAAAACAGGACTAAACCAGGACTAAACCAGGACTAAAACAGAAAACCAGGACTGAACAAGGACTGAACAGGACTGAAACAGGACTGAACCAGGACTAAAACAGGACTGAACCAGGACTAAAACAGGACTGAAACCAGGACTAAACTAAACAGGACTAAAACAGGACTGAACCAGGACTGAACCAGGACTGAACCAGGACTGAACCAGGACTAAACCAGGTCTAAAACCAGGTCTAAACCAGGACTGAACCAGCTAAAATTCAGAATAAAAATAATACAAACATCTTTTTTCAGAGTTAAAAAATTCAAAGTTAGAAAATTCAAAATCTGAGGAAACTAATGATCTTCTAACCCGAATTCTGTCTAAAATGATAAAAAAAGGTTTGAGTTTCAGTCTGTTTTTGGTGTAAAAGGTTACAGACTGTGGTTTCAGGGCAGTTCGTCAGCTCAGTGTGTCTTTTGGACGTCCTGTTCGTGGTCTGGCGTGACTCGGTCTGGTGATTTTAGTCCCGGTCTGGGGTTAGATTCCCTCTGGCTCAGCTTTAATCTCACTGAGTGGGTTTGTTCTCGGTGTGTGGGACTTGACCTCGGACGCCCTTCCTCCGCGCGTTCACTCGGATCAAAGCCGCATCGCGACGCCGAGAGCACGGGAGGTCACCGGAGACTGACTCTGTGCCCTTAAGCAAGCACTTTAAGACAGAGTTGAGCCTGTGTGATCAGATCAGACCGCACGCCGGGGCAGCTCCGTCACGGCAAATCTGGAAACTTCTTCTGCAGGATCCATATGTTTTTAGTTTTAATTACCAAATAAATGAATAAAGGAATAAAATTATTATTATTATTTTTTTTTTTAAGGCTTCAACAATATCGAATTTATGTTTACGATACTTTAAAAACAGAATTCACAATCAGAGCAATTTATAAAAAATAATAACATGTCATGGAGAATAACTAATTATTTGAACAGGAAATGGAATATTTGCTCACTGATATTAGGGATATTATAACAACAACTACTACTACTACTACTACTACTACTACTACTACTACTACTACTACTACTACTACTACTACTACTACTACTACTACTACTACTACTACTACTACTACTACTACTACTACTACTACTACTACTACTACTACTACTACTACTACTACTACTACTACTACTACTACTACTACTACTACTACTACTACTACTACTACTACTACTACTACTACTACTACTACTATCTACTACTACTACTACTACTACTACTACTACTACTACTACTACTACTACTACTAACTACTACTAACTACTACTACTAACTACTACACTACTACTACTACTACTACTACTACTACTACACTACTACTACTACAACTACTACTACTAACTACTACTACACTACTAACTACACTACTAACTACTACTAACTACTACTAACTACAACTACTACTACTAACACTACTACAACTACTACTAACTACTACTACAACTACTACTACTACTACTACTACTACTACTACTACTACTACTACTACTACTACTACTACTACTACTACTACTACTACTACTACTACTACTACTACTACTACTACTACTAACTACTACAACTACTACTACTACTACAACTAACTACTACTACTACTACACTACTACTACTACTACTACAACTACTACTACTACTACTACAACTACTACTACAACAACTACTACAACAAACAACTACAACTACTACTACTACTACAACTACTACAACTACTACAACTACTACAACAACTACTACAACTACAACTACTACAACAACTACTAACAACTACTACTACTACAACTACAACTACTACAAACTACTAACTACAACTACTACAACTAACTACTACAACTACAACAACTACTACAACTACTACAACAACTACTACAACTACTACAACTACACTACTACAACAACTACAAGAACTACTACAACAACACTACAACTACTACAACTACAACTACAACTACTACAACAACTACTACAACACAAACAACACACAACTACTACAACAACTACTACAACTACTACTACTACAACTACTACAACAACTACAACAACTACTACAAACTAACTAACTACACTACTACAACTACAACTACAACTACTACAACAACTACTACAACTACAACAACTACAACAACTACTACAACAACTACTACAACTACTACACTACAACTACTACAACAACTACAACAACTACTACAACTACAACTACAACTACTACAACAACTACTACTACAACTACTACTACAACACAACTACAACTACTACAACTACAACTACTACAACAACTACTAACAACAACTACTACAACTACAACTACTACAACAACTACTACTACAACTACTACTACTACTACTACTACTACTACTACAACTAACTACAACTACTACAACAACTACTACAACAACTACTACTACACACTACACTACTACTAACTACTACTACAACTACTACTACAACAACTACAACTACAACTACTACAACAACTACTACAACTACTACTACAACTAAACTACTTACTACAACTACTACTATTATTAATTCTTTCCTTATGGACCTGCATTAAGTATGATGCCTGACCTCCTTGGGATTTTTTCAATACATAAAATAACAATAAAAGTTAAAAATTAAATTAGTACTGAGTACTTTTCCCACCTCTGGTCGTTGGGGTTGTGACTCTAACTGGAGGCACTGCTGAGTATATTTTTCTCGTTCTTGTGTCCAGGTGCTGTGTTCTGCCGTGTCAGAACAGACGCTGCTCAAAACCGTCACGCAGATCTTCTCGGAGGCGGAGGCGGCGCGGTTGGCCAGCGATGCAAACGGTTCCCACGGCAACAGCTCCTGCACCGACAAGGCGGCGCCACCTTCAGGTACGAACTGAAACCACACCCGGCCTCAAGTTAAAGGAAGTTTATTTTAAAGGTTGTATGGAGCATTATTATTTTTTTGTCTGTTTGTTTCAAATTGTCAATTGCCCCGTTTACATGAGAGCTTTAATTCCGATTAAAAATAATTGAATTTGGAATAAAAATGTATTCTGCTTTAAAAAGACCATGTAAACACTTAATCCCTAATGATTTTTCGGAATTAAACTTAAATCTGAATTAAGTGGGTGGTTTATTCCAGTTTTAAAGTGGAATAAATTTTTCTGCGATCATGTAAACGTTTATTCTGCTTAAAAAATAATTCCAGTCGTTCAGCATGTTGCATGTTGGATCAGCCTTCTGACGCGATGACGCACTGCAATATGGTGAAAAATGTTTGTATCATGTTTGTGTCCCGAATCTCTCTTTCCCATTGCCTATTTAATTGCTCAAACCGTCGAGCTCAAGTGATCATCATGAACTCATAAAACAGCAGCATGTGGCCTAGAACTTTACACAACTCACCGCACATCAGCCCGGAGCAGAAGCTCTGAGTTCGCGTAACAGTGGGAAATACACTGGACACTCACTGTAGCACACAGCCCCTCCTCGGTCTCGTGCCGTCCTCCGAGCGGGTTGGTCAGACAGGACCATAGGCTCCGTCCTCCATGTGCTGGTTCCAGACGGGGACGAGCAGGACCACTGGATCTGTGCGGCGAAAGTGAGAATGCTCTGTGTACTACAGGTCGAGGCGGGCTGCTCCTGTCCTCCGTGCTCCAGGTCTGCAGCTGGTTCCACAGTGGTGCAAAACATCTGGACAGAAGCATTAATCTCGTTTAGTTGGTTATATGTCCTTCTGAGCGTCCGTCCTTTGTGCTCTTGGTTCTTCCCTGAGGAAAGCACTGCTCAGGTCGAGGCACCAAACACCACCCCGGCTCCAGGTGATCTGGGCCCGACCTGAACTGGAGCTGCTCCCGCTGGTTCAGGAGTCTGGGTTTGGACCACTGTTCCCCAGTTTGTCTGGGCGGAGGAACAGTGGTTCGCATCCCCACGTGTAACAACAAACTGAGATGATAAAAAAGCTGGTAGCAGCTGAAGTTTGTGTTTTCTTCTGGTCGATGTAAATATGTTTGTGTCTCTGTCTAATCAGAACCTTCCCCACCCCCAGACACTGAGCGGAATTAAATAAAGACGATTTAACGTGTTTTCCATGTAAACCTTAATTCGTAATTATTATGTCCATGTAAATTCAAAGGAGAATAAGTGAGTTCCGAATGAATTAATTCAGAATAATTAAATCGGAATTAAAAAACATGTAAACATAATCCGTGTATCATTCGTTCATTCGTTTTTCAATATAAAACCAAAAATAAGAAAATGAAAAAAACAAGAGTTTTCTTCATTATTTGTCTCCAAAACCAAAATAAAAAAACAGATGGAAAAAACGGATAACGACCGTTTCCCTTTTACATGACGTCCGTGACTGCGATGCCGGACTTTTGCACCATGTACGGACTGAACCAGGACTGATCCAGGTCCAGGACCAGAGCGGGACTGAGACCGGGACCAGACCTGGACTGAGACCGGGACCAGAGCGGGACTGAGACCGGGACCAGAGCGGAACTGAGACTGGGACCAGACCTGGACTGAGACCGGGACCAGACCTGGACTGAGACCGGACAGACGGGACTGAGACGGGACCAGAGCGGGACTGAGAACCGGGACCCAGACCGGAACTGAGACCGGGACCAGACGGACTGAGACCGGGACCAGAGAGGGACTGAGACCGGGACCAGAGCGGGACTGAGACCGGGACCAGAGCGGAACTGAGACCGGGACCAGACCTGGACTGAGACCGGGACCAGACCTGGACTGAGACCGGGACCAGAGCGGGACTGAGACCGGGACCAGAGCGGGACTGAGACCGGGACCAGACCTGGACTGAGACCGGGACCAGAACTGGACTGAGACCGGGACCAGACCGGGACTGAGACCGGGACCAGAGCGGGACTGAGACCGGGACCAGACCGGAACTGAGACCGGGACCAGACCTGGACTGAGACCGGGACCAGAGCGGGACTGAGACCGGGACCAGAGCGGGACTGAGACCGGGACCAGAGAACTGAGACCGGGACCAGACCTGGACTGAGACGGGACCAGACTGGACTGAGACGGGACCGAGACTGAGACGGGACCAGAGGGACTGAGACCGGGACCAGACCTGGACTGAGACCGGACCAGAGCGGGACTGAGACCGGGACCAGAGCGGGACTGAGACTGGGACCAGACCTGGACTGAGACCGGGGACTCAGAAGCAGGCTGAGACCGGGACTCAGAGTCTGGAGTCTGGACCGGGACCCGAGTCGGGACTGGACCGGGACCAGAGCGGCAAAAATCCGGCATCGCAGTCACGGACGTCACGTAAACGGGAAACGGTCGTTATCCGTTTTTTCCCTTCTTCATTTAAACATAAAATCGAAAACTGAAAAAAACAATCGTTATCCGTTTTTTTATTTTGGTTTTGGAGACAAATAATGAAGAAAACTGTTGTTTTTTCGTTTTCTTATTTTTGATTTTATATTGAAAAATGAATGAACGAATGATACACGGATTAATCGTGGCCAATGAAAGTTCAAAATAGCATTATAGAGATGAAGCATATAAAAACTAAGAACAACTTTTCATTTTTTTCATTGATTTTGTCAGTATTATAAGCAAACAGCCTGAACCATGTAAAGTTTTGACACGGTAGTGTTCTGTGTCAGTGCAGAGACACCAGAGTGTGCCGTGTTTTTGTCCATTTTGTTATCAGCTCTCGTGTTGGGGAGGACTCTTCTCTGCTACAGCTCAAGGACTCGCTCTGTTGTTTTGTGTTTAGACCCGACTGACCCCGGAGTCTACGACGAGATCATGCAGCCCGTGCTCCACTCGGGTTCCTCTACAAGTCCTCGTCCTCCCACAGAGGAACGCTGTCCAGGAGAACCAGAGACGGTCAGACGAGAATACTGTCTATTCATACTACTAATACTACTAATACTACTACTATAACTGCTACTACTGCTACTAACCTACTAACCTCTCACTGAAACAGTAACTGTATTCAGTTACAGTTACTGTTTCAGTGAGTGGTAATTGGATTACAGTTACTTTGTCAAAATAAATTTATTACATGGCGGTATTTTCCTGTTTTCACATTTCGGGCTGTATCCCCAGGTCTAAACTAGATCTAAACCAGAACTAAACCAGGTCTAAACTAGATCTAAACCAGGACTAAACCAGGACTAAACCAGAATTGAACCATGTCTAAACCAGGACTAAACCAGGACTAAACCAGGTCTAAACCAGATCTAAACCAGAACTAAACCATGTCTAAATCATGTCTAAACCAGGACTAAACCAGGACTAAAACCAGGACAAAAAAACAGGTCTAAACCAGGTCTAAACTAGATCTAAACCAGGTCTAAACCAGGTCTAAACCATGTCTAAACCAGGTCTAAACCAGGACTAAAACCAGGTCTAAACCATGTCTAAACTAGATCTAAACCAGGACTAAACCAGGTCTAAACCAGGTCTAAACTTTCTGTAAGTGACAGTGGTACAGGAGGTGAAAATGTTAATATATAAGTCGCACCGGAGTATAAGTCGCAGGAAACACCCAAACCATGAAAAAAAGTGCAATTTATAATCTGAAAAATACAGCACGACTGCGGCTGCTGCTAGTATTTTCTTTTTTTTTTTTTTTGTAATTTTCTTCTTTATTTTCTTAAGTTGACCCAATGTGAATCATAATTGCAAATAACTTTATCCATTTCTTTGTCAGAGTATTTTATTTTACTCATAATTTTTTGTTCCCCTTTTTTATTCTTTTGATTATTCATAATTCTTATTTCCTTTTTTGTCACATCCATTTATCACATTTAATATTATTGGTTTAAATTGTATTATTTAAAAGTACTGTATTATTCTGTTGTCATATTCATTTAGCAGTTTTATGTTATTAATTATAATACAAACAAACTGCCACTTCATGACATCACAAGGTGGAACGTTGGAGATGCATGTGTGAATGAAGCAAAACACAACTCCAGGTCTGTTTTTGATGAGGAAACAACATTATAACATCACTTAAAGCTCACAAGAGACAATTTGTGTAATATTGGACCTTTAAATAATCATAATAAACATTTGCCACATTTACATGAGAGCTTTAATTCAGAATAAAAATAATTTAATTCTGATTAAAAATAAATTCTGCTGTAAAAAAGACATGTAAACACTTAATTCCTAATAAAAGTGATCATTTGGAGTTAAACTTAACTCTGTCTGTGTGTGTGTGTCTCTTTGTGTCTGTGTGTGTCAGACTTCCAGAGGTTCTGGTGCAGCGTGGACCGGTCTCTGGTCCTGTTTGAGACCGAGCTGAGTCCAGACCCGGTCCTCAACATAAACTACAGAGACCTGCTGTGTCTGGGAGTGAGCCGACCTGACGGGAGCAAGAGGCGGAGCAACGGCTTCATCGACAGGTGCTGCTGGGGACGGGGTGCAGACAGGGTGCAGACAGGGTCTAGACTAAATTTAGATCTTATGACCTAGTTTAGACCGGGTTCAGACTGTGCTGAGTCCAAGTTTAGACTTAATTTAGAGCAGTTTCAAACCTGGTTTACACCTGGTTTAGACCTATTTTAGACCCGGTTTTAGACCCGGTTTAGACCTGGTTTAGACCTGGTTTAGACCTGGTTTAGACCTGGTTTGACCTGCTTTAGACCTATTTTAGACCTGGTTTAGACCTGGTTTAGACCTGCTTTAGACCTATTTTAGACCTGGTTTAGACCTGGTTTAGACCTGGTTTAGACCTATTTTAGACCTATTTTAGACCTGGTTTAGACCTGGTTTAGACCTGGTTTAGACCTGGTTTAGACCTGGTTTAGACCTGGTTTAGACCTGGTTTTAGACCTGGTTTAGACCTGGTTTTAGACCTGGTTTAGACCTGGTTTAGACCTGGTTTAGACCTGGTTTAGACCTATTTTAGACCTGGTTTAGACCTATTTTAGACCTGGTTTAGACCTGGTTTAGACCTGGTTTAGACCTGGTTTAGACCTGGTTTAGACCTGGTTTAGACCTGGTTTAGACCTATTTTAGACCTGGTTTAGACCTGGTTTAGACCTATTTTAGACCTATTTTAGACCTGTTTAGACCTGGTTTAGACCTGGTTTAGACCTGGTTTAGACCTGGTTTTAGACCTGGTTTAGACCCGGTTTAGACCTGTTTAGACCTGGTTTTAGACCTGACCTGTTTAGACCTGGTTTAGACCTGTTTAGACCTATTTAGACCTGTTTAGACCTGGTTTAGACCTGGTTTAGACCTGGTTTAGACCTGATTTAGACCTGGTTTAGACCTGGTTTTAGACCTGGTTTAGACCCGGTTTAGACCTGGTTTAGACCTATTTTAGACCTGGTTTAGACCTGGTTTTAGACCTGGTTTAGACCCGGTTTAGACCTGGTTTTAGACCTGGTTTAGACCCCGTTTAGACCTGGTTTAGACCTGGTTTAGACCTGGTTTAGACCTGGTTTAGACCTGGTTTAGACCGGTTTAGACCCGGTTTAGACCTGACCTATTTTAGACCCGGTTTAGACCCGGTTTAGACCTGGTTTAGGCCTGGTTTAGACCTGGTTTAGACCTATTTTAGACCAGTTTTAGACATGATTTAGACCTGGTTTTAGACCTGGTTTTAGACCTGGTTTTAGACCTGGTTTAGACCTGGTTTAGACCTGGTTTTAGACCTGGTTTTAGACCTTTAGACCTGGTTTTAGACCTGGTTTTAGACCTGGTTTAGACCTGGTTTAGACCTGGTTTAGACCTGGTTTAGACCTGGTTTTAGACCTGGTTTAGACCCGGTTTTAGACCTGGTTTAGACTGGTTTTAGACCTGGTTTAGACCTGTTTTAGACCTGGTTTAGACCCGGTTTAGACCTGGTTTAGACCTATTTTAGACCTGGTTTAGACCCGGTTTAGACCTGGTTTAGACCTATTTTAGACCCGGTTTAGACCTGGTTTAGACCTGGTTTAGACCTGGTTTTAGACCTGGTTTAGACCCGGTTTAGACCTGGTTTAGACCTATTTTAGACCTGGTTTAGACCTGGTTTTAGACCTGGTTTTAGACCTGGTTTAGACCTGGTTTAGACCTGGTTTTAGACCTGGTTTTAGACCTGGTTTAGACCTGGTTTTAGACCTGGTTTAGACCCGGTTTAGACCTGGTTTAGACCTATTTTAGACCCGGTTTAGACCCGGTTTAGACCTGGTTTAGGCCTGGTTTAGACCTGGTTTAGACCTATTTTAGACCTGATTTAGACTTGGTTTAGACCTGGTTTAGACCTATTTTAGACCTGGTTTAGACCTGGTTTAGACCTGGTTTAGGCCTGGTTTAGGCCTGGTTTAGGCCTGGTTTAGACCTGGTTTAGACCTGGTTTAGGCCTGGTTTAGACCTGATTTAGACCTGATTCAAACCTGGTTCAGACCTGGTTTAGGCCTGGTTTAGACCTGGTTTAGACCTGTTTTAGACCTGGTTTAGACCTGGTTTAGACCTGGTTTTAGACCTGGTTTAGACCTGGTTTAGACCTGGTTTTAGGCCTGGTTTAGACCTGGTTTAGACCTGGTTTAGACCTGTTTTTAGACCTGGTTTAGACCTGGTTTAGGCCTGGTTTAGACCTGGTTTAGACCTGTTTTAGACCTGGTTTAGGCCTGGTTTAGACCTGATTCAAACCTGGTTCAGACCTGGTGCAGACCTGGTTTAAACCTAGATTAGTCCAAGTTTAGACCAGATGTTTAGACCTGGTTTAGCTCCTACTACTTCTAATGCCCACTCAGACTAATACTACTGTGCCTGTTACTACTAATGCTATTTGTACTACTACTATTAAAACGGTGTAGTACTAATAGTATTTGCAGTAATCTAAGTATTTGTTGTATTTTCCCAGGTTCCGTTACACGTTTGAGCTGTACCTGTCCTCAGAGAAGCTCCTCCAGTTTGGACTAGAGACCGCGGACGAGCTCCACAGCTGGACCAAGGCCATCGGGAAGGTATTGGATCCAGACAAAAACAGGACTAATAGTACTAATTAGGGGATGCAACGATATTCGATATAATGTTGAATCATTCGATACTGGTGTCACGATTCTATACACGTGTTTTTTCGATGTCCATGTGGTCCGCTGTGTGCACCGCGTTGACATTTATTTTGGTCGAAAGGAAAACATTTATCACAGCGTCCTCCTCAGATGCAGCAAGAAAACGGCTAAACATCTGAAATATTCTAACAGATCTTTATCTTTCAGTCACTTTTTATTTTACTTTGATAGATCCAGGAATGACAAATATATAAACTTTTAAATACTTAAAGGTTGTATGGAGGATTTTTTTTGTTTCAAATTGTCAATGATAGATTATAGAGGTGCAGTAGCCTTGTAATTATGATGACCAAAAAAAAGAGAATAAAAATTCATCAACTCTGGACGTGGTGGGGCTAAACATTTGCCAATAGATAACGACACTGCCTCGTTATCTGTGAGCTGACAGGCTGTCAATCAAACTCCCTACGTTTCTAGTGTAACTGACTTGCCTGCGCCGCCGGTACGTGGTTTACGTACGACTGTCACGCAGTCCACAGACGCAAGACGCACAGACGCTGTTTACTCCACCAACGCAACAGTTCTTAGCGGCTTTTTTTGACCTATATCTTCCTCGCAGTTTGCACAAAGTTTGTTGCAATGGCGACAAGAATCCAGGAGCAGTTCGCCGCAAAAGAAAGTCCGTTTTTGAGGTCGCTGAAAGAAGAAGACAAGGGGAAAAGCAGCGAAGCCAAACTAAGGTGATTCTTGAAGATTCATTCCAGCGATGGCGCGACTGAAGCAGACGCAGGGTCTAAAGACTGACGCACTGGTCCACAAATTACTCCTGGACAGGAAACTTCTGCTTATTATGAAAACGTACTTTATTTCCAAGAGTTAGACAAACGTTTTTCAGGACACGAAAGCGATATCCTATGTCTGAAAACGTAATTTTCAAGGCAAAGAAAGAGTCCGCTTGCTGCTGCGTGTTGTAGCTAGTTCATTCGCACTGAATCTCCGCGCAACCTTCTCTGCACCCCTTTCCTGCTCCTCTCCCCGCTGCCCGATCCACTCTTCTCCCTGCTCCTCACTTCTCGTCCGCGAACGAAATGTCCGCACACCCGCTCCCCCCGCTCCTCACTTCTCCGTCTTGCCTAACCAACACTGTAGTTAGTTGTTTACAAGTCATGTGCAGCACCGGCTGTAAACAAACCTGTTTCTGGCGTAAGGAGGAGGCGGGAGGAGGCGTTTCTACGTAGGAGCTGTAGGGGAGGGGGGGTGGTTTCACGCATGCGCAACATTTGAAAAAGGACAAACAGTCGCTGGATTTCTCGTTCCTTGGAAAATCCTCTATACAACCTTTAAGAATCACTTTTGGCTTTATCTATCTCATAAGTTTTATTTTGAAAAAGGTCTGGGAGACATTTCTATGTAATATAACATTTAACATAACGTTTTACTTACTAAGAATGGAGAGCACAGTGTGTTTAATAAAATAACCCGAGAAAGAAATTCTTATTTTCACTGAATAAAAATTTTGAGCTGTAAATCATTGAATCAAAGTAGTTGTACTGTATTGTATTGTGAGAAACGTATGTAATAGTGTTATTATGTTATACTTATTAGCAGAAAAAAATTACAAGAGGTTTTTCTTTTTCACATCTTAAAATAAAATTGAATTGATACCATGACCCCTGTATCGAGATACGTATCAAATTGCAGGAAAACTGCATCGTTGCCTCCCTGGTAATACTCCTCCAGTTTGTTTTTAAACTCCATACAACTTCACTAGAAACATGTGGATGATTTCAGTCTCTACTGAACTAAAGGTAAACTGTAGCTGTTAACTTGTAAACAGCCACTTCACGACATCACAAGGTGTAACAGAGCCTTTTGAACTTTATAAATGTTGACAGACTAATAAAAATGAAGCCTTACTCAAACGTGTGAATGAAACAAAACACATCTCCAAGTCTGTTTTTGAAGAGTAACACTATTATAACACGACTTAAAGCTCACAAGAGTCAATTTTGCATAATATCAGACTTCTGAGCCGCTCTAACTAGTGTTGTAGTACTCGAGACAGGTCTTGTCCTCAAGACCGCCCTCAAAACTGTTTTTTTGTGGTCTTGGTCTCGTCTTGGACTCAAACGTATTTTAACTTGGTCTTGTCTCGGTCCTTAAGGTGCTTCGACTTGGTCTTGTCTCGACCTCAAGATCATATTTCCTTACAACCGCTGTTGTCTGCAATTCAGAAAACAGGTTTAAAAATCCTACCCACTTTCTGCTCTATCTTGATTTATCTGTAAAATGCCAGTGGAAGTTGGTTTAAAGAAGGGATTCTCAAACTGTGGGTGAGCGTTCAAAACGTGGGCACAGAGTGTTTCAGTGCAGTAGTTTGTTTGACTTTTTTAAAGCTTAAATTAACTTTAATCAGATAAAATGGAGATAGATTTATTAAAACATTGATATAAATGTTCCAAAATAAAAGTAGAATACAAATAAATGTCGATGATGGTCTCGATTTACTCTCGTTTTGCCATAGTCTTGGTCTTGTCTCAGTCTGAACCCTCAAAGGTCTTGGTCCTGTCTCGCTCTCGGCCTTTAAAAGTCTTGGTCTTGTCTTATTCTCGACTCTCAGAGGTCTTGGTCTTGTCCTGGTCTTGGGACCCTGTGGTCTCTGACAGGTCTTGGTCTCGATTAGCGTGGTCTTGACTACAACATTAGCTCTAATTAGGAACACGTGACCTGTAATGTTCCGCAGTGTATCTTTAGTCAGTGCTTGCGTTGTCCTTGCAGGCGTTCACCCCTCTGAGCTGCCACTGTCTTCTGTCCCGGGAGTTTGAGCGCGTGGGGCTGCTCCGGTACAGGGCCATGATCGACCCGCAGCAGTGGAGAGACGCCTTCTTCGTCCTGCAGAAGTCCAACCTGTTCATCTGCCCCAGCACCGACGGAGCCGCAGAGGACATCATCAACCTCAGGAGGCTGCAGGAGCTCAGTGAGTCCTGCTTTGGTCCTGGTTTAGTCCTGGTTTAGGCCTGCTGGTTTCTTTTCTGTAAAATGGTCCCTAGAGCTTGATCAGTTCTTGTTTAGGTCTGGTTTCTACCAGGTTTAGTCCTGGTTTTGTGCCAGTTTATTTCCAGATAAGGTTTCCATCAGACTTAAACCCCGTCAGTTGAGTTTAGTCCTGTTCTGATTCCGGCCTGATCCTGAGCCGTGTTCACATGTGGTCTGTGTTTCAGGTGTTTCTTCAGAAGGAGACGGTGAGAAGAAGGACACTCTGGTCCTGGTGGAGAGAGGACGGTGAGCTCCTCTGTCCTACACATGGGTCTGGGATTTTTCAGCTTTATCGTGCTGCTGGATTTAGACCGGATTTGGACCGGGCTTAGACCTGGTTTAGATCTTGTTTAGAATGGGTTTAGATCTGGTTTAGGCTGGTTTTAGACCTTGTTTAGACCTTGTTTAGACTGGGTTTAGAGCTAGTTTAGACCAGGTCTAAAATTGATCTAAAACTGGTTTAGACCAAGTTTAGACGTAGTTTAGACTGGTTTTAGACCTAGTTTAGATCTAGTTCAGACCTAGTTTTAGACCTAGTTTTAAACCTAGTTTAGACCTTGTTTAGACCTGGGTTATACCTGGTTTAGACCTAATTTAGACTGGTTTTAAACCTAGATTAGACCTGGTTTAGACCTGGTTTAGACCAGTTTTAGACCTAGATTAGACCTGGTTTAGACTGAGTTAAGACCTTGTTTAGACCTAGTTTAGATCTGGTTTTGACCTCGTTTAGACTGGGTTTAGATCTGGTTTAGACTGGTTTTAAACCTAATTTAGACCTTGTTTAGAACTGGTTTAGACCAGTTTTAGACCTGGTTTATATAGCACTTTTAGACCAGGTGATTTAGACGTGGTTTAGACCTTATGACCTAGTTCATTCCTGATTCAGACCTGGGTCAGACCTGGTTTAGACCAAGTATAGACCAAGTTTAGACCGCATGTTTAGACCTGGGTTAGCTATTACTACTTCTAATGCATACTCAGACTATTACTACTACTGCTATTTATACTACTACGATTAAAAGTATATTATATTATATATTGTTCTTTTTTGGCTAAAGTAAAGGCAGGAGTGAGACTTTTGACTCTTATTCTACCTTTTTTTCTCCTTGCTTGCCCCTTGTTTTTAGTCTTTAGTTTATTCTGTGAATCAATAAACTGAAAGTCAAAGTTCTTCCTGGTTCTGACGTCTCTGTCGTCTCTGCGTCCCTCAGCACGCTGCACCTTCAGGGGGTGGCCCGCACAGACTTCTCCCTGTGGTGCGCGGACATCCAGAGGGCGTCCGGAGGGAGGGGGAACTCTCTGAGGGAACAGCAACTCAGCCGGAACGACATCCCCATCATCGTGGACAGCTGCATCGCCTTCATCACGCAGTACGGTACGAGATCTCTGTGTTACATTACAATTCAGATCTGTGGAGAGTCGTCCTATTTTGTGGTGTTTTCTGTTCTCAGGTCTGGGTCACGAGGGGATCTACAGGAAGAACGGGGCAAAGTCTCGGATCAAACTGCTGATGGAGGAGTTTCGTAAAGACGCTCGGAACGTCAAACTGCGAATCGGAGATCACTTCATCGAGGACGTGACCGACGTGCTCAAACGCTTCTTCAGAGAAATCGACGACCCGATCTTCATGAGCGACCTGCACCCCCTGTGGCAGGAGGCCGCAAGTACGTACTACTCTTTATAAGTGTTTAGTTTCAGTCTTCTGTTTTATTTTTGGTCCTAGTTTACACTTGGTTTAGTCCTGGTTTAGATCTAATCTAGTTCTGGCTGTGACTTGGTTTAGACTTGATTTAATGGTGGTTTAGTCCTGGTTTGGTCCTGGTTTAGTCCTGGTTCAGTCCTTATTAACTGTGACTGTGTTCAAACAGAGATTCCTCAGAAGAGTCAGAGACTGGACCGATACAAAGAGATCATCAGGAGTCTGCCCCGAGTCAACAGAACCACGATGGCCGCTCTCATCAGCCACTTATACAGGTACTACAGATACTACTAATACTACTACTATTACTATTACTACTACTACTAATACTACTACTACTACTACTACTACTACCATACCAGCTTGTCAAATCCTGATCCCGTCATATCTCAGAAGCAGGGCCGGGCCTGGTTAGTACTTGGATGGGAGACACTGGGAAAATCAGGTGCCACAGGGGGGCGCCAGTCACAAAAACAACTGTTATTATGTCTTTAGGCAAGACACTTCATAATAATGAATAATCAGTTTTATGTAGCGCTTTTTTGGACAGTCAAAGACACTTTACAGAGCATTATTGATTTACTCGATACCCGGTGGTGGTAAACGACTACTGTAGCAACAGCGGCCCTGGGGCAGACTGACAGAAGTGTGACTGCCAATCTGTGCCATCAGCCCCTCCAACCACCACCATCACACACACACACACACTTTCATACTAAGCAATGTGAGTGAAGTGTCTTGCCTAAGAACACAACAACAGTTTTTGCCACTGGTGCCCCACTTCACCCACATTGCCTAGTATGAAAGTGGTGTGAGTGATGGTGGTGGTTGGAGGGGCCGATTGCGCAGATTGGTAGCCACGCTTCTGTCAGTCTGCCCCAGGGCAGCTGTGGCTACAGTAATAGTTTACCACCACCGGGTCTGGAGTGATGAATGAATAATGCTCTGTAAAGTGTCTTTGTGACACATGTCTGTGAAAAGGGCTACATAAATAAAAAACTTACTTACTTACTACAACTACTACTACTACTACTACTACTACTACTACTACTACTACTACTACTACTACTACTACTACTACTACTACTACTACTACTACTACTACTACTACTACTACTACTACTACTACTACTACTACTACTACTACTACTACTACTACTACTACTACTACTACTACTATTGCTACTACTACTACTACTACTACTACTACTACTACTACTACTACTACTACTACTACTACTACTACTACTACTACTACTACTACTACTACTACTACTACTACTACTACTACTACTACTACTACTACTACTACTACTACTACTACTACTACTACTACTACTACTACTACTACTACTACTACTACTACTACTACTACTACTACTACTACTACTACTACTACTACTACTACTACTACTACTGCTGCTACTACTACTACTACTACTACTACTACTACTACTACTTGCTACTAGCTACTACTACTACTACTACTACTACTACTACTACTACTACTGCTGCTACTACTACTACTACTACTACTACTACTACTACTACTATTGCTGCTACTACTACTACAACTACTACTACTACTACTACTACTACTACTGCTGCTACTACTACTACTACTATTGCTGCTACTACTACTACTACTACTACTACAAGTACTACAACCACAACACAATTACTACCACTACTACCACTACTACTACAACTACTACTACTACCACTACTACCACTACTACCACTACTACTACAACTACTACTACTACTACTACTACTACTACTACTACTACTACTATTGTTATTGCTACTGCTACTACTACTACAAGTACTGCCTCCACAACACAACTACTACCACTACTACCACTACTACTACTACTACTACTATTGTTATTACTACTGCTACTGCTACTACTACTACTACTACAAGTACCACTACAACTACTACCATAACACCACTACTACCACAGCTACTACTACTAGTAGTACTGTTAGCACCACTACTACTACTACTACTACTACAAATATGTGCATTGTGTAACCATGGTAACTGCCATACACAGCACCCCCACAGCAAAGTATCAATATACAGATTCATCAAAAAAAAATTCCAGTTCTGAGTGTGATTTGATGATTTGTTGGTTGGTTTTTCCGTGTGATGTGCAGATGTTTTTGGTGTGTCGATGTTTTTGGTGTGTTGATGTTTTTGGTGTGTTGATGTTTTCGATCTTTTCCCTCTGGCCTCACTCAGGGTGCAGAAATGCGCCGACCTGAACCACATGTGCACCAAGAACCTGTCCCTGCTCTTCGCTCCGAGCCTGTTCCAAACCGACGGCAAAGGAGAGCACGAGGTGAAGATCGTGGAGGACCTCATCGACAACTACCTCTATGTGTTCGACGTGCGTATACGCTTTTTAAGACTTTTTAATATGATGTTTTGTTGTTACATATTGTACTATTTTCTAATCTGTGTTATAATGTTGTTTCCTCATCACAAACAGACCTGAAGTTGTGTTTTGATTCATTTTTTCATTGTTTTGTTTCACTAGAATAATTTGGATAGTTTCTGCCCTGGAATTGCCGTTCTCTATTACCGTAATTTCCAGACTATTGAGCGCACCTGAATATGATCTGCATCAACAAAATTTTAAAAGAAAAGAAAAAATTGTACATATATAGGCCGCACTTGTCTGTAAGCAGCAGATGTCCACTTTGTAACTTGAGATATTTACACAGAAAGACTTTTTATTTTTAATTAAATATTGCTTATAGTCTGGAAATTATGGTAAATAAAAGGTTAAAGGAGCTGTTAACTTGAAAACTACTAAAACTAAAACTGTCAGTTGCCCTCCCAACCTGCGCCTGTGAGTCAGAAAAGAGTTCTTCTCCTAAACACTATTAATCGTAATTAGTCTGTCTACATCTCCAAACCTCAAAACGCTCTGTTCCACCTTGTGATGTCATGTGGTAATACAGGAAGTCCTCCAAAACACACTTTCACTAGAATCATTTGGATGATTTCAGCTCTGGAATTGTCAATCTCTACTCAATAACAGGGCCTAAACTCTGAAACACTTTCCCACCCCCCGTCCGAACAGCCCCCACAGTGGAGTGTTT